AAGTCTTTGTTCTGAAAATGTGCTTATTAATTGATTGTTTGGAAATTTTTCCCAAAGAAAAAAATACATAGTGGCCAGGTTCCTAGAACAATACACTTACCCAATTGTACTGTAGAATAATCCTGAAGAATTAATTACCACAGATAATCATATTTCACTAGACAAAGATTTTAAGTGTTTCTGGGATGCCAAGAACACATTTCACCTGTCCACCTAACGCCCTAGCTGCAATGGAATTTGGACTTCCCCAGTGCAGTGTCCAGGCTGATTCCTGTGGATCAAAGGCTCTAAGAATGTGAGGACTAAGGGAAGGGAAATGAGGAGCAGGAATAATAGGGTGGAGATGCGTCTCTGCTAACCGGTTCATGGAGAACTGGTATCTCCTTTTACATTTTTCCCTATTTTCTTTTCCTTGAAAGAAGAAAGGGATTTTACTACCACAGGGATAACTTTAAACTCCAAATTAAGGGGCACCTGGCTGGCTCAGTTGGTTAAGTGTCTTTCTTCAGCTTAGGTCATGATCCCAGGGTCCTTGAGGAGTCTGCTTCTCCCCCTGTCTCTGCCCCTTCCCCCAGTAGTGTGCACTTTCTCTTTCTTAAATAATTTTTAAAAAAATGTAAAAACCTCCAAATTAAGGTAAAGTCCACTCATAGATATTTAATGTGAAGTAAGATTCATCCTTATTCGAGTGGGATCAAGACTCAAGCTCATCTTGGACACTTAAGTGGGAAGGTGGGTCCTACAAAGAAGAGATGGGTGGACCTGGACAGAAGCTGGAGTGAAGAAATGAAATGCACACGTGCTCTATGCCATAATTTTACCTGTTGAACTTAATTTTGCCTATATCAAACATAGTCACAATGATTCTGGAGGCATATTTATAATTGGCATCAATCAGAAATCTTCATTGTATGCTTTTTAAGTATTTTTAGGTCCAGTAATAGCCAAGAAACAAAAACTTGCTTACTAGGGCAACGTCTATTAGCAAATAGCTCCAGAGGAAGATACAAATGTTCACCACAGCGCTTGAAAACAGGGTACCCTTCCTTCTAGCCCTTTGCTAACATAATCTAATCAATGGGATGGGGGTGGCATCCCTTTCTGAAAGTAGATTATATTGGTGGTTTTATTAAATCAGACAACACTTCAAAAGCACAGGCAACAAAATTTTAAAAACAGACAAATGGGACAACTCGAAACTTTATAACTTCTACACGTCAAAAGAAACAACAGAGTGAAAAGGCAGGATGGGAGAAAATAATCACAAGTCACATACCTGATAAAGGGGTTAATATCCAGGATAGATAAGGAATTTAGCAACAAAATAGGTTCTTCATTCAGCAGAGAACATGCCAGTCTCCTTAGAAGGGGAATGCCTTGGGTTTCCCAATTCTAGTTTGAAAAATCCCAGAGAAAGGCTCAACTGGGCCCAACTCAGATGTTTACTCTGAACTACTTCAAATGCTCAATATGAGGGTCACCTGGGTGGCACAGGTCGTTAAGCCTCCGACTGTTGATTTTGGCTCAGGTCTTTTTTTTTTTTTTTTTTTTTTTGGCTCAGGTCTTGACCTCAGGGTTGTGAAATTGAGCCTGAGTCCAGCTCCATGCTGAGCAGGAAGCTGGCTTAAGATTCTTTCTGTCCCTCTCCCTCTGTCCCCCCACCAATGTGTGTGCTCTCTATCTAAAACAAAATGAAAACAACTCAATATGAAGAGAATGCTTAAGTAAATTCTGAAAAATGTGTATAGCGGAATATTTTTTTAAAAGATTTTATTTAAAAAAAAGATTTTATTTATTTATTCATGGGAGAGGGGCAGAGACACAGGCAGAGGGAGAAGCAGGCTCCATGCAGGGAGCCCGACATGGGACTCGATACCAGGTCCCCAGGATCGCACCCTGGGCTGAAGGCGGCACTAAACCACTGAGCCACCGGGGCTGCGCTATAGTGGAATATTATGCAGCCATCAAAGTTATGTTTATGAGGGGATCCCTGGGTGGCACAGCGGTTTGGCACCTGCCTTTGGCCCAGGGCGCGATCCTGGAGACCCGGGATCGAGTCCCACGTCGGGCTCCCGGTGCATGGAGCCTGCTTCTCCCTCTGCCTATGTCTCTGCCTCTCTCTCTCTCTCTCTCTCTCTCTCTCTCTCTGTGTGTGTGTGTGTGACTATCATAAAAAAAGAAAAAAAAAAGTTATGTTTATGATGGATTTTTAAAAATTGAGATGGGAGGGATGCCTGGGTGGCTCATTGGTTGAGCGTTTGCCTTTGGCTCAGAGTGTGATCCTAGGGTCTTGGGATCAAGTCCCACATCAGGCTCCCCTCAGGGAGTCTGCTTCTCCCTCTGCCTATGTCTCTGTCTCTCTCTCTCTGTGTCTCTAATGAATAAATAAAATATTTTTTTAAAAAAGACATCAGAATACATTGCTTCTGGAGTATGCTGCTTTCACCCTCTTCATTTTTTCCATATAAAATTTTTTCTACAATAAACTTATATAACTTTGAAAACAAGGGAACAAATGTGAAAACTCTGTCACTGTCTGGGCTATCGTTAATAGCCTCCATATGGACTTCCAGACTCCAAAACATCCTTCACACAGCTGCAAAAAATTATCTCACTGAAACTCAGGTCCAGGCACGGAATACCCCTATTTTAAAATTGTATTTAGTTTCTCACAACCAACACAGTAAAATCCAGGCTGCAAGATCCTTCAGTGAAGCCCAATCTACCTGCCCAGTTTGCTCTCCCACCATAGCCACACCAGACACTTTATATGATCCCCTTCAACTATTCACAACCCCCCAAATATACTCTGCACACGTCTTTATTCTTCTGCACTGTTGCTTACTCTACCTAGCAAGCATCATAAAATTGTCTTCTCCTCTATCACCACCATTGAAATCCTTTAGTCTTTTAGGGATGATCCAGTAGAGGATCTCAAATCTTTACATATTCCTACCTTAAGAACAATATTCATCTACCCAGGAAGGTCACTTACTTTGTTCAAATATGAAGTGTCAGGAGGCATAAGAGCAGAAAAGGAACTCATCTGCTCAATGAGATCAGTGGAATCCATTGATTAACCTCTGAACCAATGCTGGTGACCAGGGCCCAGCCAGACAATTTTTACCTTCCTTGTTACCGGGTTTCTTTCTTCAACCTTCTATCCTAGTCATGCAAACAATAATACTTTTAGGAAGCTAGTAGAGTGCCTGGTATATAGCAAGTAGATGGCAAAATGGTAGTTGCCGCTTTTGTTATTCATATCAGTAGGGCTTCCTAATTAACATAGAAAGTGGTTCCAAAGTTCCAGAACTCAAATTATGGTAATTTTTAAAAATATTTATTTATTTATTCATGAGAGACACACAGAAAGAGAGAGAGGCAGAGACACAGGCAGAGGGAGAAGCAGGCTCCCTGCAGGGAGCCCAATGCGGGACTCAGTCTGGGATCCCAGGATCATGCCCTGAGCCACCCAGGCGTCCCAAATTATTGTAATTCATTACACTCTGTCCCACACCAGTTTGTGAAACTATAGGCAGGCTAGCCCCAGGATATAGATGCTCGTGCAATGGCAGATATACCAACCTCCCTTGCACTCATCCTCTCTCTATTGAACTGCACTCCCATTACAAATGTGCAACTGTAGTTTGCTATGGCTTCAAAATGCAACTAGGTGTTGGAAGGATTTTGTTCCCAGAGATCTTATGTCATGAATGCTTTCGTTCTTTCCTTAAAAAAATTTTTGCTTCATTTCCAGGAATGTGATCTTAGTGTTTCTTTGTTCAAAATTACCAATCAGTAGCTTACAACATGATAATAACAAGCATGAAGCACTTATAATGTGTCAGGCACACACAGTTTGTTTTAACTATATATTTTTCATTAAAAACTCATAAATTTCTCCTGCTTTACATAATTAGATACTGAGGCTCAGAGATTCTGAGTGATTTACCCACTGTGACAAGGTGGCAACTTAGCCAATGTAGCAGAGTTAGCATGTAAATCTAAATCCATCTAAAGCCCACCTGCTTGACTATCAACAAGCCAAAGGGCAGAAAGGTGTAAGGAAAATATCTCCTTCAAATATTCAAGACATCTTGGGCCAGAGGGGCCGGGTCCACTGAGCATTCAAAATAGATCAAATATTGCTACTATGATGAAATGTTTCAACAACCCCCTCAGCATAAAACTTATTCTTATGTGATTTTTTGGTATTTCTCTACAATATATCACTGGCTTTCTTTGGGTTATTATATTTAGTTTTGGGTTATTATATTTAGTTACATCTTTCTCAAGAGCAGGGATCTTGTCTTACCTCTTCATTCCATACTGTGTAGCACTCTTGCATTTATAGTAATAACTCAGTTTTTGCTATGGATTCAGAGATAAATGAAGTATCATGGAGATGCATTTGCTTTATTAACTTATTTATAAATAATGCGCTAATGCATGAACCCCGAAACAACCAAACAAGCAGGAAGCTGGAAAATACTAAAATAAATATTCTTTGCCTCTGGTGAATCACTATAAAATAGTTCAGGAGTTTGTTTCACCCTTCATTCCCAAAGCGTTGCTATCAGGGGGAGAAAAGTGACTGGAGACAGAGAGCAGACACCCCTGGCATATAGTCCGGTACTCAGTAGAACACTCTTTATGTAAAAGAACACTTCCAGGGATCCCTGGGTGGCGCCTGCCTTTGGCCCGGGGCGCGATCCTGGAGACCCGGGTTCGAGTCCCACGTCGGGCTCCCTGCAGGGAGCCTGCTTCTCCCTCTGCCTGTGTCTCTGCCTCTCTGTCTCTCTCTGTGTGACTATCATGAATAAATAAATAAAATCTTTAAAAAAAAAAAAAAGAACACTTCCAGCCAGAGCTTTTGGGTTCCAGGCTTGTCAGACGTATCACCTCTTTGTCTTCTATCTTAGAGGAGGAGATAATAAGCCAGACAGGATGAAGGAACGCTGAGAACTACATTTCCCAGGATGCCCCTCTTCCGCACGCAACGCCGCCTGCGACGTCGCTCCCATGGCAACCCAAGAGTCGGCTCGATCCGGCGGGTCGGGAGCCGGCGGGCGGCCTGATCTTAGGCGGCCCCGACGCTGAGCGCACAACTCCGGGTCGGTGGAGCCGCGATGCCCAGGTATCCCCGCGGCCTTGCTTGCGCCCGGCTTACGCTCTCCTCGAGAGCCTGGCTTTCTCCCCTTTGCCACCCCAGCCTGGCAGGGGCAGGGGAGGGAGGACCGCTGGGGGGGGGGGGTTATATTTAGGGAGAGGAACCCTGGGTCTTTTCTGCCGGCAACCCCTCTCTGGATGGTCAGGGATCCCTAGGAACTCGCCTTGGGCACGTGGATTCGGCAGGTAGAAAAGTTCTCCAGGTAGAAAAGTAAGATTTTGAAAGATCACTCAACTTCACCCGTTCACTTAGTAAAAATTTCTTGCAGGCCGAGGAATGTTCTAGAAGCAGAGGTTCAGGCAGTGGAGTAGGCCGCAGGGCCACCTCTTCGGAGTTCGCCCCCTCCGCCTTCCTGGCGCAGGGGTTCAGGTCCACCGCGAGTGAAGGGGCCTGGAGGACGCCCCGCAGCAGGGGAAGGTGGAAGGCGGTGGAGCGGGAGGCCCGGCACGCGCATCTGGACGCTCAGGTTCTGTGACGTTCTGAGACGCGAGCTTCCATTGCCCGCCCTCAGGATACCGCGAACCTTCCCATGAGGAAGGACGTCGGGGAGACCGGGCTTCTGGAGTCCCTCACAGAGCAGGATAGATCGGCTTTTCTCACTCTGTGGATCTCGGCCTGCCTGATCTCTGCTGAGGCTATGAACCTTAATGTGAAAACCTGTCAGCTGCTTTCCCATCGTGGCCTGATTGGTTGCAGATTTCCACCGGTCACTTGAATGGTGGCCGCACCTCCTGCTCTCCTCTTTTCTGGGAGCTTGGAAAGCAGATAATCCCATTTTGAAAGGGTGGTGTGTCAGTGAGGAGCAGACAGGCCTGGGCTGAGTTCCTGGGGGGTTCACCTTGAAATAAATGCATACATTTTAGTGCATTTAGGAACACCTATATTGGTCTTTCATAGCCCAATAGTAACTATTATAAGCTCTCAATATTTTTAAAGATTTTATTTGAGAGAGAGCGAGAGGGAAAGACAGAGAAAGCACAAGTGGGGTGAGGGGGGCAGAGGGAGAAGCGGACTCCGGGCTAAGCAGGGAGCCTAAGGTGGAGCTCCATCCCCGACTCTTTTTTTTTTTTTTTATTTATGATAGAGAGAGAGAGAGAGAGGCAGAGACATAGGCAGAGGGAGAGAGAAGCAGGCTCCATGCACCGGGAGCCCGATGTGGGATTCGATCCAGGGTCTCCAGGATCGCGCTCTGGGCCAAAGGCAGGCGCTAAACCGCGGCGCCACCCAGGGATCCCTCCATCCCCGACTCTTAAGTGACTGAGCCACCCAGGTGCCCCAAGCTCTCAATAATTTTAGATAATTACATGTAGGTCAAGCCCTAAATGAAATGAATTAGCACACTTATTTTAGCAATCAATCATGACAGTCTTAGAAGATTGGTGTTCTTCTTTATTGGCATTTTAGAGATGAAGAAACAGAAGTGAGCCTGAGGAATAGCACAGAAGCTTGCATCTGTTAGGTGCTCAATGTATATTTGTTGAATTAATAAAGGAATGAATAATCCAGAGAGGTTAGGTAATTTGCCCAAGTTGGTATATGTAGAAAGTAGCAGATTCAGGCTTAGAACACATCAAATCTTTTCTGTATTTTTTTTTTTAGTTCAGTACTCCATTTTTCATTTAGACCTTAATTTTAAAAAGGTATAATCTTATTTGTGAAAAATTATATGTTTGGGGATCCCTGGGTGGCGCAGCGGTTTGGGGCCTGCCTTTGGCCCAGGGCGCGATCCTGGAGACCCGGGATCGAATCCCACATCGGGCTCCCAGTGCATGGAGCCTGCTTCCCCCTCTGCCTGTGTCTCTGCCTCTCTCTCTCTCTGTGACTATCATAAATAAATAAAAATTAAAAAAAAAAAAAGAAAAATTATATGTTTGTAGAGAGATGAATGGAAAGATTATTTTCAAAATGTGATTTTAGGTAAATTTTTTCTTTCATTATATTTTATATATTAAAAAGTGGAAACTTCAGCCAGAAATATAATTTAAAAACAAGAAATACTTAAGAAAACAAAGATTGTTTGGTATACTGGCTTTACATGCTCCCCATGTTCCTAGATGTTGGTAGTTTTCAAGTTATAGATTTCTAAAATTCTTTGTACATTCATGTACATGTCTGGGAAGTTAACACGTACAGCTTCCAACCTTGGCTGGAAGCTCCAAAAGAAGACAGCCTCAAATCCCGGTGACAAAGGTTCTGGTTATCATTTTCAGCTTTTCTTTTGTGAACCAGTGGAAAGAAAATGACTAATCCTCGGAAGTTTTATCAGATTATCTCCAGAAAATAGTGTTGATTTGTTTTATAAATTTAACTGAAATAAAATTTCTCTGAGCTTAAAATAAATATTGGAAAGGATTCCCTATGATTCTCTGAATTCTGTTTTTCTGCCCCTCATAGTGAAACTCTCTGGGAAATTGCAAAAGCCGAAGTGGAAAAACGTGGACGTGAAGGTGATGGACTTGAAATTGGAGAAAAATCTGTTTTCTTCATTGGCAGTAAAAATGGGGTAATGTACTTTTTTTCCTACTTCCCTGCCCCCCCCCCCCCCATGTATTATAGTTTAGCAACCAGTGGAAAATTCATTTTAATACTTTGGTAAAAATGTGGATACTTCAACTCTTTAGCCAGATGACCAATCTCTGGACTCCTGGTTACCTTGGAGCTGCTTGTGCTTTGTATGAGGGTGCCCTGCTCATGGGTGAGTAGGGACAGCATCCAGCCTGAGCACTTCTTGTGTCAGGTGGTTGCTCTGTGCGCCGCAGAGGAAGGAGCACTTGTTTCAAATTAGACTACCCATTAGAGCAGTCCTTTTACCCCAAAGGCACCATGAATGCTAATATGATGGCTGTAGTTACGGTAACTTATACAACTGAAACAAGAATATAGATAACAGGGACACCTGAGTGGCTCGGTGGTTGAGCGTCTGTCTTCGGCTCAGGGCATGATCCTGGAGTCCCGGGATTGAGTCCCACATTGGGCTCCCTGCATGGAGCCTGCTTCTCCCTCTGCCTGTGTCTCTGCCTCTCTCTCTCTCTCTCTCTCTCTCTCTCTCTCTCTCATGAATAAAAAAAAAAAAAAAAGAATATAGATAACAAAAACATAACCTGACAAAGTATGATACATTTACCCTTCACTTATCTAACTAGAGTCACAGAAACTGAAGGAAACCTGGAGATACTCTAGTCTTCTACTCCGAGGTCCATGGAGATACTTCTTAGGACCAGTGAACTCTAGAAATGTATGCAGAATTGTGCGTGATTGTGTATCCGTGTTTTTATGGGAAATGGTAGGAGAACCATTCCAGCACCTTCAAAAAGGTTAAGAGCCACTATAAACAGTGGTTGTATAGTTTAGGTTTGACTCTCTCAATGGGGGAGGAGGAGTTGTCTTCTACAAGGCAACCTGGTTCCATTTTCCTGAATTCCTAGTTAACAAGAAAACCTGAGTGGCTCATTGTAACTTCCAATGTTTGCAATTTTGGCCTGTAAAAGTATATAAATACTTGGTATTCCTAATTCTAAGGTCCCAATTTAGGTCCTAATTCTGATTTGTAACAGTACAGAAATAAGTCTGAATTTTCTTCTGCTTTTTAAATCTTGAGATATTTTAAAATTTCCCTTCAAATAATTAATGGCAACCACTTTGTCTCTGAGTCTATTTCAGCTTTAATATCTTCCTTTCTTTCAGTCATGCCTTCTGTGTCATGGATTCCATATTGGTTATGGATTCCCTGTCATGATTTTATGACTCTTAACTGGAACTATTCTAATGTGTAATTCTTGGGAAGGAACAGGACTTTGGAGGTTTTGCTTAACTGCAGTAGACTAGAAGGTCTGCCAGCTTCTCTTTTTCCAAATGCTGTGCTCCTGTTATTGTATAGAAAAATTCTAGTAATCCCATAACCTTGTTAACTACGGTTGAGCTTGAGATCTATGTTCTTTGCATACATGCTGTTTTGTCCTTAATTTTCTCAGATTGGATCCTCTGTTACAGTCTATATTTTTAATTACTTTTATTAAAGTGATTAATATATTGGTTTAAAAACTCAAAGATAATCAAAAGGTGCACAAAATACTAAACCTCTCCACATTGTTCAGGGCTTCTCCTTTAAGTGGCCTCTTTCGTATCCTAAATCTGTTTTTTTTTTCCTGTAATTCTTTATTTCTTAAATAGCTTATAGGCTATTTTTAGACTTAAAATGTTAGACACTATCTATTGAATTTTTGATAATAGAAGATTATTTAGTTCTAGCTCTTTTTTTAAATGATTTTTTTTTTTTTATATTTTTAAGTAATGTCCACACCTAACATGGGGCTCAAACTTAAAACCCTGAGATCAAGAGTTAGAAGCTCTACTGACTGAGCCAGACAGATGCCCCTAGTTTATCACTTTTAAATGCTCATTTCCAGCCCTAGTCTGCAACATAGTTGTTTTTATAGTTTTGGGCTAAATCAATATTCAGTGTTATTATTTCTAAAACTTGTTTGCTGCTGAGCCAAATGGATTCCTTTCCTTTCTTTTCCTTTCTTTTCCTTTCTTTTCCTTTCTTTTCCTTTCTTTTCCTTTCTTTTCCTTTCCTTTCCTTTCCTTTCCTTCCTTTCTTTTCTATCTTTTTATTTTTTCTTTCTTTCTTTCTTTCTTTCTTTCTTTCTTTCTTTCTTTCTTTCTTTCTTTCTTTCTTTCTTCTTTTTTAAGATTTTTTTTTTATTTGAGAGAGCACACGAGCAGAGGGAGGAGCAAATGAAGAGAGAGAGAGAATGAGAATCTCAAGCAAGACTCCCTGCTAATAAGCACAGAGCCCAACAACGCAGGGCTTGATCCAGGATCTTAAGACCATGATCCAAACTGAAGTCAGACACTTAACTGAGTAAGCCACCCTGGCATCCCTCTTTTTCTTTCTTTTTTTTTTTAAGATTTTATTTATTAGAGGGAGAGTGTGTGCACAGTCAAGGGGAGGGGCAGAGGAGAAAGAGAATCTCAAACAGACTCCATGCCCAGGGCAGAGCCCCACTTGAGGCTCAGTCTCATGACCCAAGATCCTGACCTGAGCCGAAATTGAGAGTTGGCTGCTCAACCAACTGAGCCACCTAGGTGCTCCTACTTTTTCTTGAATAACTTTTCTCAGAAGTTTAAAAATGCCTTAATTTTTTTTATTTGCTTAGCTTTTATGTGTTCCTTAGTTTTTGTATGCACTAGTTATTTGTTGCTACATAATAAATTATTCTAAAACATAGCAGCTTTTAAAACAGCAAACATGGGGCATCTGGGTGGCTCAGTTTGGCTAAGCTCTGCCTTCAGCTTGGGTCATGATCCTGGGGTCCTGGGATCGAGCCCCACCTTGCACGCCCTGCTCCATGGGGAGCCTGCTTCTCCCTCTCCCCACCTCCCCACCCATGCTTTCTCTCATTCTCTCTCTCTCTCCCCCAAATGGATAAATAAAATATTTAAAAAATAAAACAGTAAACATTATCTCATCTAGTTTATGAGGACCAGGAGTCTGAGAGCAGCTTAGTTATGTGGTTCTGGGTCAGGGTCTATCATGAAGTTGTAGTCAAGATGTCGTCTGGGACTAAAGTCCTCTCATAGCTCAACTAAACTGGGGAATCAGTTCCAAGCTTGTTGACATGGTTGCTGGCAAGAGACCTCAGTTCCTTGAAGATTGTTGGCCAGGTTTCAATTCTCCACATATATGCCTCTCCATAGGGCCGCTTACAATATGGCAGCTTGCTTCCCCCAGAGCAAGAGATCCAAAAGAGAGAGGGCACCCCGGTAGAAGTTGCAGCCTTTTATACCCTGATCTTGGAAGTGATGTGCTGTCATTTCTGCCATAAGCTATTGATCACAAAGACCAACTCTGATACAGTGTGAGGGACCATGCCTGGGTATGAATACCATCAAGGAGGATCATTCGGGACTGTCCTTGAAACTGGCTCCCCAGCTATGTATTTCTAATTCTAATTTCACAGTCCCCAACAGGCGTTCAATACGATCTTCATCTAGGTAGCTGTACCCGATCATCTGAAAGTTCCCCTCTCCAGCCAGAGTCCTGTCGTCTTTTAACTATTGTGCTGGTCTGTACTGTGGTTCTCAGGACTGGCTGCGTAGCTACCATCCTTCCCCAACATCTTGAGAATTCCTTTTTCTTCTTTCTTTCCTGGATCCTGTGTCTTCTCTGTTCTTGGTTTACTCACTTATTTTGATGGAGCACATTCTTTTTGTAGTTTTCTAGGAAAGCATTATATGGTAAGTAAAATTTATGAGACCCTTAAATGTCTAAAATTTCCTTTATTTTTCCCTCACTCTAGATTGAATGTTTATGTGGACATAGAATCCTACATTACGATGAGTCACTTAATCTCCGTCTGATCCTAGTTTCTGTCTAAGTCTGGATTATTTCCTTTGGGAATGACCAAAAAAATGACAAAAAATGACCGAAAATTCAAACTGATGTAGGAGCTTTTTTGAATATTTGGTATCCTCTTCACTATTAGACTTCATCTGTATTCCTCTTGTGATGTGTACCATGAGATACCATATTTTAATTCATTTCATATGGTCAGACAATAGTCTAATTACCGTCACAACATTACATCTGTTCTGCCCATTATTTTCATCCAAATGCATTTTTCATGCATATTTATAAATTTCCATATAAATATACAAAGTGTGCTGTATTTTCTCTCCCTTTCTGTCTCCTTTTATTCCTTTTCACCAATATATTGCACTCGTAAGTTATATGCTAGTTTTGGTAATCATATGAGATCATTTTGCTTCCCTGTGATAATACTGCACTTATTACCTGCACTGTTATGTATGTGTCGCTGTGAATATTCTTTCTAGGCCTTGGCTCAGCTGTTTTCTCTTGTGAATTACTTGAACCCTCTTCCATTATTATCTTAAAATTTTTCTTAATATCATACCTAATGACATCTCAATTTATTTGGACTTCTTTCTCTCATTCTCTCCACTCTGATTTAGATTGTCAAGTCCCTAGGCGTTGGTCTTATCATTCTCTTAACATAGATTTCCTCTTACCAAGTGATTACTCCAGTATCCTAAGGTATGGGCCAGAAAACTTAGTCATTGACTAGCCTTTTTCTTCCCAGAGCTCCTGTTCTCATTCCATACCTCAACTTCTAGGTAGAAGAAAAGTGGGGAGGAAATGTCTTGACTTCTAAATTTTTCCTTTTCCAGTTTTCCCAAGTATATTCTGGTTGTGAGAGGATGCTTTCCAGGGTTCCTTAAGAGATAGCAGATACTAGTTACACATCTTCCACACATAACTTATTGATCACAACACCCTTTTCTACTGAGCCTGAAGATGACATCTAATCCCTAGCATTCCAGGAAGGTGTTGGCACTTGCAATAAAATTGATTTGTCATCTCTGACTCTAATAATGTTATTTATCACCACACAACTAGGAAACGTCAGCCAAAATCCATAAGTTGATATATGCTCAGGTGTAGCATACCCGTCAGGTCAACAGAGAGCTGATTTCACATGG